ATATTCTAATGAATGATTGAGTATGATAAAAAGATAGAGCTTTTGGGGAGCTCAAAAGTTGGTGCTTTTTAAGCATATTTCAAGTAGCCTGACAATAGCAAGTGCATTATCAATAATAAAGGTTTAGTTTTAAAACTGAACAGGCACAAGCAGCAGTTTGATTCATGTTGTAGTACAATTGCAGATGACATTTTTGAGCTTCTTCACCATTTATCTTCATTTAATTTCCTGTATAAGACTTAAGTGTGTGGTACCTTTGGGGGACACTGTTGTATTGCTATCACTAGTGCAGAGCCCGTGCGATGCACGTGGTGTACAATTTTAAGGCTATTTATCCAGGCTTATAATTATATACATGAATAAAGAAAAATGTACAGATATATATAGTACGTGACCCGTGCGAGACACGAAATAAATTTATTTGGGTAATATAACATTGTAAGATGCAATATTAACTAAAATTTTATAATACGTAAGAAAATTGTACAATAAGAAGTATTGGATGAAAGACCTATTAACTTGTTTGATTAAGCTAAATTCTTGATTCATTATTTTGAATGAAAATACTGATTGGGGATATTTTTTTTCGTAGGAGGTTGAAGTGAGGAAGACGATGACTCAATATTTTGAGATTTATAATTTATAATTAGTAGAGTAGAATCAATATCTGTTAAGATTTTTAAGAAAAAATCTTGATATACGGAAATCACTTAGATCAGATTTTCAGATAAGATTTTTTGTACAAAGATAAGAAGGAATTTTAAATCTACACAAACTATAAATATTAGATGTATTGATTTACGTAAATCAATATCTATATAGACAACCAAATTCTTGATATCTGATTTATTTTTTGTAAAATCAAGATTTTATCTTCCGATCAAATATGCCTTTTTTTTGTTTTACGTACATTTATATTTTGTATCGATTTTATGGGAAAAAACAATTAAATAAAAATTAATTGATAGAAATTGAATGCATTAATTACTTTTGACTTTTCTTTCTACTAATTCTAATAAATGAGATGGCTCTTTATATAAGTATAAATTAAATATTCGAAAAATCGGTATTTAATGTATGTTGTAATGTATGAATAAGTAATATGTATTGTGATAGCTAATAATTGAAATAAACTAAAAAATATATAAAAATAAGTAATATTCCAATATACTATTAATTATTTCGAACTAAGTTCTCAAATAATAATACTTGCAAGCGTTCATTTGCAGCTCTAATGCTGCTTATTCTACTCAATGAAATGAAAAACAACAGCTACACAATGCGGCTGTTAAAAATTAAAAAAACAAACTAAAACTATAACCTAAATTATTTTAAAATAAGATAGCAATCATAAGAATTCAGTTAATCTTGTTTAGAATTTTTATTTGTATAATAATCATTATCTTTATTGTTGTAAAATAGATATCTGTTAGGAGTGCTATTCAAAATCATATGAGATCAAATTATTAGGTCCGAGTTTGAAGGCCAACATAGCAATTAAAGAGTCTGGTGAATCAAATACTTCTTTAGAATTTTTATTTGTAAAATAATCTTTATCTTTATATTTGTAAAATAAATATCTTTTAGGATAACTATTCAAAATCATACGGGATCAAATTGTTAGGTCCGAGTTTGAAGGCCAACAGATTAATAATGTCCGAAAATCTATATTTAGTAGGCATTAAATGTATTTGGCGGGAAATAACTGCTAAAATTATTAAATGGTTAATCTTTTTATATAACGATAGATTTGGTAGCCCGATTGTAAGACCTATTTGAGTTTTAATGCATTGTAGTTGACGTTGAAAAAAAAAAAAAGTAGCCTGACAATAACATGTCTATCAATAAGTTTGCAATTCCAATAGAGCCAAGTTTTTAATTAAAGAGAATATAAT